AAAAAAAAAAAGAGTAAACTATGCTCTAACTGCCGCAAGATTTTTCTTTTTCTCCAGCACCCAAACAAGAACTGGCCTTGAGATAAGCTGACTGACTCCTAGCCCCTACCCCACCAGCTATAACTACAGCTTTAGTTAGACAAGAGACCAATTTCAGTAACTTTCTCCTTATAAGAGACCACCAACCATGGGCCAGGTCTGACTAGCTTATAGAAAACACACGCTTGCATACCTTTATGTCCTAAAAAAAACCTTTTGACTTATAAGGCCTAAATATAATACATTTAAATGTTAATCCTTTACCTCAAAATAAACATGGGTCACACATGTATGTTTGTTCAATATACACTTGTCAGGACCATCTTCATAAGTTTGTGTTATCTATATTATAAGGCTGAGTGTTACCTATATACCAGATTATTCTCACAATATAATGCAAGCTATGCAGGCCTTAGATACTCATATTTCTACTATATATGCTCTCTCAAGACCCTGGGACAGCATGGTTTATTCAACTCCCTAATACATGGAAGACTGTCATATACAATATAATTGTCATTCTGCTCATTGTTTGCTTTTGTTGCTATGGATTTTATTGCTGTTGTACAGTTTGCACGGAAATGTAGGACAAGCTTTCTCAAAAACCACTAGGTCCTTGCACCATAATGCTCCAACAAACCCCTACTATAAGTCCAGGAATTCAAGAATTTTTCCGAGTCCAGATCAACATATTTCGTTCCAATACCACTTTACTGTGCCCTTTCTCAGCGGGAAACAGCCAGATTGACTACATTGCCCACTTTCCATAAAAATGTAATGGAATTTGACATGGGGACTTTTAAATGAGCAGCTTTGAGATATTGGTGAGAAATCACAAGCTTGTTGAGGTTGGCCCTGTAAGAGGAACCATGACAGGCTAATTTTTGTATTTTTAGTAGAGATGGTGTTTCCACATATTGGCCAGGATGGTTTCGATCTCCTGGCTTCATGATCTGTCTGCTTCAGCCTCCCAAAGGGCTGAGATTATAGGCAAAAGCCACCATGCCTGGGCAATAATTACTATTTTCCAAAGCTAGTCAATACTTGTGATATGGTTTGCATGTTTGTGTCTCAATGATTGGCTTTCTGTGTAGTGAGCAGCAGGACCTAGGCAGAATCCCTGGTGTTTCAGTAACAACTTTAGCTCAAAATAATTATCATGGCATATTTGGGGTGGCATGTCATGAACTCCCTCATAATCTTGCATCTTATGATGAACAAACCAACAAGATCACAGCACCTTAAAGAGATGCACGTTTCCCATGTTTGAAACTGCTCAAAGTAGCCTTTTGACTCCTGCAGCAGTGCTTGTCACCCCCCAACTCACACCCCCTTTCCCAGTGCCCAGGCATTGGAATCTAATGATGGCTCAAACCAGAGGAAGCAGAATTCCTTAGAGGGTAGCTATGTTAGTCCATTTTCACACTGCTATAAAGAATTACCCAAGACTGGGTAATTTATAGAGGTTTAATTGACTCACAGTTCCACATAGCTGGGGAGGCCTCAGGAAATTTACAATTATTGTGGAAGATGAAAGGGAAGTGAGGCACATCTGAAATGGTGGCAGGAGAGAAACAATGAGGGCAAGGTGGAGGGCAAGGTGGAAAGTGCCACACT